AATTAGATGGCTGAATATTTGTAGGTTCCGTGGATTTCCTATATGAAAGCAGTTCGCACTTGTTTTAGACAAAAACCAATAGAATTAACCTTTCTCTGCGATTCTTACATCGTCTACCTTAATCAAAATTGTTTACCAATATTATTTATACATTTAGAATGCCCATACGTTTGTCAAAATAAACAATTATCTACCTAAAATACAAGTCTTTATTTATAATTGCAAATACAATTTAACCTCATTTTCACCTGTTGTTCCTCATATGACCTTCCATCCGGCCCACTGCCCCCAGCAGTACTTTCATCTCAAGGGTGACCCCCGCACACTCACTGAAAGAAAGCTTTCTAGTGAAGCTGGAATAAAAACATTCAGATCGCGTTCTTCTTCATCAAAAGCTCAATTTGTCATGGGCAACAAATTGGCTTGGCAAAAATATATATCAAAATGAACTCTATATGTATTATTTGTGTTTAATTTGCCGTTAACTTACCTCAAGATACGGGCATAATTATCTTTTCTTTTCGCTCAAAATGTAAAAAAATGTTTAAGATATTTTATTTGTATGCACTGTTGTTCTAACATTATTTTAATTGTTTAACATCAAAAAATAATAAATAATCAAATATAGTAAAAACACAAAAAAGTATGTGATTTACATATATATGTACATATATTTGCGTGGATTGTTTAGTTAATTGGTGAGAAGTATAAACAACCAACTTCTTTGAACGGCGCGCATAAACTAAAAAGTAATAACAAAAACAAAATCACGAGGGAGAAAGAGGAGAAAATAAATGTGAAGAATATTAAACGAAGAGGGGCTCTTCTGAAACCGGTTTTCTTCAACTTAAAATGAGCTTTCCAATAAAAATAGCACATTTTCCAGCGCGTCTTAAAATCAAAATTATTCTAAAACAGATGGTTAAGTCGGGAATCGAACCATACAATGAAACTTAAGCTTTGGACCTTCGTTGAGTTAGAACACAAGTCCACAATTTCCTGAATTTCTTACTGTTTTTCAAAATTGAAAGATATCGAAAAATATATATATTCAGCAGTCGAAAAATATATATATTCTGCAATATATGGAAGCTTATCGTCAAAAAATCATAAAAATTAAGCACTTATCGAGGACGCAACCCTAAAATGAAAATGGAATTAGTATTCGTTAAGTTAGCACGCAAACCACTTTTAGTACTGCCAATTAGACATTCACCCTTATATGCTTTAGAGAAAACTCCTACCGCTTTATAAAATATGACTTATATTTTTATTTAGTTTAAAATTTACCTTACTCAATTAATTTTGAAAAAGAAAAACAAAATCGATCCCACAATAAAAACTAATTTCGTTTAAAATGTTTTTATTGTTAAATGTTGTAATGAACGTTTTGTTTCGGTATTACCTCTATAAAAACGGTTGCAAATATCTATTAGTTTTCGTATGGGTATAAAAATTATAAAACATTTGTAAATCATAACTATTTGCTTAAAATTAGCTAATTGTCTGGACTAATTATGGTTTATATTCCTGAGTTCCCTATATTTGGAGCTCAGTCTTTCTTTTTATTTTTCCTTTTAACATACTAATTTATATTAATTTTGATTTCTTTTTGTTTTAATGTTGAGAGTTTTTCGATGACTATTTCTTACTATTTACTTTTTATTATTGTATTACATTTGTATACCCTGGCTTATCCATTAACATTGTTATCCCATGTTTTTGTGTTCATATTTACTTATTTATTTTAACATTTGCACTTGCATTCCGAAGTTTGAATTGAAATTATGATTTCATTTCCCGGTTCCCATGTTCTCGCGCAAAAATATTTTCATTTTTAACATTTTTAACTTTTTGCCATGAAAATGATAAAAGTTAGTCAATTTTTCGTGCGCGATTGCAAGGATTGTGTGCCCGAGGATGCGGCGCTTGAAAGTTTCGAGTGGCACACGGATACTCACACAGATAGTAAAAAATATAGTCACGCAGACAAACGCACAATACCCGCGGCTTAGTGCTCCACAAAGCCAACCAAAAACTATGAAATATCTATCTGGGATATATGCATGCATGCCACGTACAGGGCACTCTGCTTTTTTTTATTTTTTCTATATTTCAATGGAAAATTTTATTAGTATTTTTGGAATAGTCAAGCATAGTCTTCTCTTTCTTCTAAGATTATTTCAGAACCGTGACCCATTAAATTATTATTAAATAAGTAATTTAAAAAAAAAAAAAGTCTCGTTTTGAAACTCTCATTTTCGGCGTATGATAATAATAAATATTTCATTGGTTCTAAATCTCTCTCTGAAATTTAACGACACAATTCCTGTCTTAAAATAAAATAAAAAAAAAAAACATGTGGAAAATATTCAATATTAAAACGAAAACGGCTTTATAAGATCTGTTCGTCACGGGCAGATTCCACTGTATTGGAATGGCACTGGCCATTTGTGTGTTTCAACTGAGGCTACAAAACGAATGCCGGAAGTTGCCTTTCGAATGCAAAATGCAAATTTAAGGAAAAGGAACCCCAAGGAACCAAGGGACGAGGGTTTGGGGGCGATAAGGACACGCTGATAAACGAACTTGAACATTTTTTGACAGTTGTGCGTATAAATCTTGAAATGTTTTAATTTGCTTGCGAATCGATTTAAAGCGCGCACAGCACACTCGCTGGTTGAGGCACAAAAACCAAAGCAAAAAACTCAGGGAAAAATGGCAAGAAAAAAATGGTTTAAAAACGCAAAGAAGCGTAGAGCAAATGGCAACGTAGTCCAATGCGGCAACATCGTTGCGTATGATTTATGAATGACATTTCAGCTCTTCAATACCCTGGAACATGACTGGCAATTACGGGTGTTGTATTCAGTTCGGGACAACACAATATAATTCATAGTTTACTAATTAAAATTTGAGAAAACAGGAGCACTTTAAAATAAAAATGAAAAATAAGTGTAACAAAAAAAATTGTTTCCTAATCATTTATAATCATTTTGAGAGACTTAAATTATTTAAACTTGTCTAAAATAGTTAAATCAGGCAATGAAATCATTTTAAATGGGTTTTTAAGAATTCGATGTCAAACTAACATGTAATTTTTTAAAATATGTAATTCTTGGAAATTATTACGTTCTCTCTTTTTTTTTTCTTATTTGCTATAATTCTAATACCACCATTAACTATTTATATTTGCAGCGCAGATTAAAATAAAAACAAAATCTTCCAAGATTATTGGCATTGTCCTAAAAAGGGTATTTAAGTGTTTGGCCAGTTGGAATCTTTTTTTGTGTGTTGCTGTGTGTGGAGCAGCGCGAATTAGCCAAAAGCCGTTGCCAATGCTCAGTGTCCACTGACCACTGTCCACTGTCCAATGTCCAGTGTTCAATGTCCGGTTTTTGGCCATGCATCCCATGGGATTGGAGTGTAGTGTTTACCTTTAAAGCGTCGCTGCCTCGCCATTTTTTGCCTTGTTCTTCTGACTTTGATTTCGGCCTCGCTTTTGTTTTCGTTTTTCCACTTGCGGCTCAGTCGGCTCAGTCGCTTTTTTAGTGGACCAAACCAGCCAGAGTCACCAGCCCAATCCCCAATCCCCAATCCACAATCCCAATCCCAGTTCCAATCGCAAGTCCAAAGACCCAGTCTCAGTTCCAATACCGATCCCGATCCAGGGCCATGGCAATTCCATATCATATTTTTGCATTGACCCCGGTCCGCAGTCGGTTTTTTGCTCTTGGCGTTTATAGATTGAGTACTTTATCAAAAAAACGAGACATCAAAGCGTATATCATGTCAGCTGCAGACGCAGGGCCAGGGATCCCCCTTCTCCTTATTTTTTTTTTTTCCCATATTTTGTTGTTGTTTTTATCTGTTTTTTTTTTTTGCTTGTGGGCCCGGGGATTGCATTTGCATGCTGCCTTTGTCCCTCTGCCGGGAATCATAACTTAGCCAATGGCTCCGCTTGGGCGCCATTTTGTTTATCTTTGTCGATTCCCCACAAAAATTGGCCCAAAACTAAGGACCATATCAAAGATATAGCCACATTAACTCCTTGAAGTGGAGGTGAAGTTAAAACCTTCGAGGGTACATCGATTTCCATAAATTCTGCTCACACAAAGCAAAAAGTAATCTTAAAAGTTATTGATATAAAAAATGATATCGAAATTAGTGGCTATTTTATTTATAATTTAACCTAATTTAATTTATCACTTTTATGCTAAAAGCACTTCTGAGCTGTTATATTTGGACTTTTATTTGAAATTATAAAAAAGGCTTGCATTTATTATCAAAGACTTTTAAAATAAAAGTCCAATATGAAAATCAGTCACACCCATACTACACATTGTTTAAAAAAAAAGTCATTTCTATTTGTAAGCTTTGAATAACTGCAGCAAGTTTTTATATAAGAAACTCTTGATTTTCTCGAAAGAGTATTTTCGTTGTGGATGCTATTGGATTAGACCTTCCCTGGAGTCCGATCCTATCGATCGGCGGGCATCGGCAGTGACTCAGTTTTTGGCCCGGCTCAACTGCTCCCATAACGATTTTCGTTCCGCCGATTTCGATCTCTCGTGATCATGGTACATTGGGTTTTGGCTTCGGTTTCGCGTCCCAAATGAGTTGCAGCGATGAATGGATCGTCTCAGAACGCTGGCAACGGTGGGGCTGCCATGAATGGACCGCTTTTGTGTGCGACTACAGTGGGCACTAGTCTAAGGCGAACGCAGAAAAAAAAATACATTTGTAACAGTTAGCTATCAGGTCGTCATCGTATTAAAACTTATACATATCTTTATTGTAGAGTTAACACAAACATTTGAAGAAATTCCAGCTCAAAGTTAGATAACATGATGTATATACTTTTATTGGTAGTGGTTGGCATTAAGAGACTCCACCGTACAGTGCGCTTCGCCATTCGTAGGCGTCACATTTGGTTGGCAGCCATCGAGTGGGAGCGTTTTCTCCACTCTCCCGTGCTTTTTCTTCGTTTCTTGGTCTATTAGGCGTGTGGGTGGCTTAAACCAAAAAGACACGGAATAAGTTACGATTTCTGATGAATTTACTTCTGCAGCTCGGCGGCGAATGTCATCTGATTGCCTTAAATCCTTAATTACCATAAACGTTTTGAATATAATCAAGGTATTAATGATATAGATACAACGTTCAAATTGGGTAAGCACACCATTGTAATGCAACTTTGTTATGCAATTATTAAGTTTTCTTTGTTTTGCAAAAATAACGATCTTAAACTGCATTTCTAGAAGCTATAATTTTGTCAACTTAAACTTGATTGTAAAGTTGCTTACCTTAAAAGTTGTGTAGTTTCAATTCTATATATTTTTCTTTAATTTTTAGTAATGCTTTAAATTTTTGTTTTAGCTAATTCGATGGCTTGGAGAACTTGAATTTATTTAACTTTTTGTTCGGTTTTTTTTTTACTTACTTTCACGTAAGTCTTATTACTATTTTTCCAACATCTGGCAGTAAGATGACCTAACATGTTCGCCATGTGATACGTTTGTTTCCTTAATAAATAAAAAAGAAAACAATTATGTTAAATTAAAACCATGCTCGTTTAAATAAGGAGCTGACTGCTCATTTAACGATGATGATCTTAAGCCCAATAGAGCGGCAAAAACGGGGTCGAATTGCATTGTTGATTACGTCTGATTTATTGGATGGACCAAAAGCGTTTACACATTTGTTAACTTTGATGGGCAGCCAAACAAATCGCTCTATGCAAATGATGAGCGTCGGGCGGAAACGGAAAACGAATTGCGGCCCGAAATGAGAAATGCCACAGATGGAATGGATCTGGACCTGGATGGCACCGAATCACATCAGACATGGCCAGCAAGCAAGTCAGCCAAGTCCGCCAAGTCAACCAGTCAGCCAATTAATATTTTGTTAATTTCGTTTTAGGTTCGTGGCTCGTGGCTGCATTTAAAGGTATTTTTGTTTGCATAAATAAACGGACGACGGAGAACCGGCAAACGTCAAAACTTTTAAAATTTCAATTTCCGGTGCAACGGCGGCCCATACGAAGATGGTGATGATGACCAAAAAAAAAAAAAAAATGAAAACGCGAACGCGAATGCGAATGCGAACGAGCCCGATTTCATTCATAAAAGGGATCACAATCGGACCTCGGATTCTGGTCCTCCATGCGGACAAAGGATCGCGGCCGGGGAAATTAATTTTATTTTGATATTTGCCCAACAAATTCGCTGGCGAAATTATCACAACAAGTTATTTCTCAGTCGCGGCAAACAAAAAGCGTCAAATTTATCAAAAGCGACAGGCGTGAGGAAGAAACTCGGAATCGGAATCGGAATCGGGATCGGATAGGTTTATATATATATGCCCTTTATGCATATGTCAGTTGCGATATAGCCCTGCCTTCAATGTATTTGCATTCATTCAAAATTAATCAGAAAAGTACGATTCTCAAGTCCAGTTTCACGCCTTTATTCTGGATCTCGAGTTCCTGCTGTGTGCCCTGAAAACCTCATGAGGATGTGATGATATATCCAAATCGGAGAGGTGCCTTCAATTTCATTTACTTGTCCTAAAGCAAATAAACGACTATTATATTGTTAAAAACATTGTTTGTATCCTAAAAATTTATTGAATTGATATTTTATCTATGGCATAACATGGACTGGATGAAATTATTAGCCAAAATAATTGCTTAAATTTAAATAAGTCGTTTTTATTAAACGCCATCTAATCATGGCATTTTATTTGATAGCCTTTTTTGTTAATCATTTATTGGAGTTCCTTTAGCCTTCCGTTCGTTTTCCATTTCCTGTAATTTTACGAAACACATCTGTATATATGTTATGCATTTAATTTCATTTTTTTTTTTTGTTAAAGCAAATTTTCACATTTGCCTGTCGCTCTGTGTTTCTGTTTCAAATGCGGTGCACGCAGAAATTATTTTAATTTTCAATAAAAATGCAAATATTTTATTTATAATTTTGTGCACAATAAAAAAATCCAAACAAAATCTGCACATACAAATATGCATACGTATGTAGATTTCCGTCATCAATATCGTGCGAGACCCATACATACACGGAATAGATATTTTCCGGAAAACACAGAGAGCTTTTTCCCGGGCGTCCATTTTCAGGCGACATCTGGAACATATTGTGGGAAATGTTCACTGGGTTGTGCTGCCTATGATGTGGCGACTATTTGGCGGCTGTTGTAGTGGAAAAAAATTAAAAAACGGAAGAAAAAATCGGAAAATGGAAAACTGGCAGGCCGTCAAACTGACAAACTGACAAAACAGAAGCATTGACTGCAGCCTTGTTAAACATATTTCCTCTGTCACCCGAGGAGGTCAGGCTTCTGATTCGTGTTTTTCGATCAGGTATCGGGTACATTGGCTATTTCAAAACTCGTACTTAGATAATCTACACTAAATGATGTACAATTTTAAGGTGTCTTAGGTTTGCTGCTACATCAAGCGCTTAAAATTAAAGTTAAGTGATTTTTGTGTTTGAATAAATAACTAACAACTATCTATGTATTCATATTGATATTACAAAAATAAAATTCTATAATTTAATGTCTAAAGCTTTGTTTTAGTTATCATTAAAATATTTTCAAATTTATCATCTTATTATAATTATTAAGGATACACTATCAGAAATTTCTAGAAATTATTTGATCTCATTTTGTAATTTATAGTTTGTAAATCTTTAATATTAAACCCGTCCGCTTTAGGGCATAAACAAGTCAGAAGTAGTTTTTAGACATTTTTGAACACTTTTTCATTGCTGTCATGAAATGCATTTGATGTACATATTTAATATTATTTGTTTATTTATTTTTGACTGCCTCTCTGTTAGTTTTGGTTGGGGCTTTTGGGGACCTGGCTGATTGTGAAATTTTTACGCTCACTAAACTGTCAACTGCAGTTTTGGTTTCGCTTTCAGGCTTTTGTCTGTTCGCATACAGGAAATTATCAAAATGCAATTTTCAATTAAATGCCAGGAAAAAACACAAAAACACATAGACTCAAACCGCTAGTCGTAGACAAACAATAAAATTGCTAAGAATATAAATTTAACTGCAATTATATTGCATTGTCCGCGAACTTGCGGGCTCAATTTTTAATAAAATAAACTGTCAAAGGCATTACAATCATAAGTGTTGACCGATCGACAATTGTTTCAATCAATTAACAGCGATTATAAGAATCAAGATCTAATGTCAGTTATAAAAATTACAATATCGTCCTTACAGTTAACTCAATTTCATAATTATTTGAGATTATTTAAGTGATCGAATTTTCCTTTAAAATATAAAACCTGCACAAATTTTATTAAAAAAAAAGCTAAATGAAAATTTACTTAAGATCTCCTTAAATGTTATACCTTTTTGCTAATTAAAAGTGCCATTGTGATTGTGTTTGACATTCGCTTTAATTATTATATTTGTCTAATTTTTGGGATATATTTTACAAAATACTTCAGAAATTCCCATTTTTCTTCCGGTCACGCATTCCTGTGGGTGTTTGCACTCTGGTCAAACAAATTGCCAACAATAAGTCAGCGAAATTGAGCAACAAAAACGGGAAAAGAATAAAAATAACGAAAATCTAAAGGGGGAATCAGGTAGACGAGGTGAGTTTGAGGTGAGGCCCGGCTTAAAGGGCACCTTTGCACATATAGAATATCTGGTGTATACCTGTATAATGGAGTTGTGATTTAAGATAGCCATCGCACGGAAAGAGGGACAAACTGACGGACTGACAAACTGACAACCCGCACTTGCCACTGGAACGCGACACTTTACACTTGGGACAACCTGACAAATGATGATGAGATGGGATGCAATGATGAGCAGCAGCACGCGCACCCGGAATCTGAATTTGAAAATGTATCTGTATCTGTATCTGTATCTGAATCAGAACCAAAATCGGAAAAGGAACATGCAAATTCGTGGGCTGTCGTTGACACTTCACAGCTGCAGTCATACAGCAACGGTAATAATAAGAGCATTACATACTTCATTTTAAGTTATTAACAACTATGGCTTAAATACCCCTTACGTATCATCAGTAATTTTGCGACTCCGGAATATTAGTTAATTTTTCTAATTTTTATATTCCTTTAAAAGACGTTTTCATTTTCATTAAAAACCTTATATTGACCTTAATAAATAATATTAAAATGTCTATCCTTAGTTATATTTCAAATTTTAAATATAGTTGTATTTAATTGAATCTCTGGTTTATTTTCATTATTATATGATGTGGAAAATATTACTTGTCATAAGAAAGTTCATGGTCTTATGATATTTTAATTACTTGTTTTTTTTTTTGGGAAAGCTTTACGAAATATTTGTCAAAAATTTTACGTGTAATATACAATTTTTTTAGGACTATTATCTTGGCCGTATGTGTGGCCCGGGGAACAGGTAAAGCCGCAGAAACAGAAACAGAAACAGAAACAGAAACCGATACATACTCCTATTCCGATTCTGATTCCGACTCAGATGCGGACTCAAAGTGCAGCCTGAACAGATGGACCTCACACTAAGCCGTCGGCTTTGCCGGTAAATCCACTCGGCATACAGCGGTCGCACTCCTCGCCCCTTTGTCCCCGATTCAGATACGGATCGAGGGACATATTCAGATGCATATATGTGTATATGTAGGGACTCGGCCACGGCACTTCATCTGCGGCTTTGGCCGGTGCTTAGTGGGCCCTTTGTTTTCGCCCACTTTCCGGGGGGTTTCATAATTCCCCGGTTCGACATTTTCCCACCTTTGGTTTTGCGGCTCAATGAATACGAATTCATTTTCGGTCAGGTCGAGGGAAACCCTTTCAAAGGTCACTTTTATGGCCGGCCATCTATGAGGGCGGAGGGAAACGACTGTTTATGTTTTTATCGCTTATTTAACACTTCATTAAATTAATTGACTTGCTGCGAAGGTTTCGTAAATAGTATTGCTTGGATCGCTTCTTGGGTCAAACAAACCTAAGGATTTTGTGCACATAGATTTCTTGTTATTCATTTTATTTACTGTTCTACAAATTGTTTGATAATAACTTAATAATTATATGCCAATAATATGCTTTGCTGCGATGATTTTTAAAAATATTATTGCTCTATTCTAATGTAAATACTTGCTACTAATAAAATTTTAAATTGTTTTTTCTAACAAACCAACTGATTTAGAGCATACAATTAGTGTTAAAGATTGTTTTTATTTACTGCTCTTAAATTAAATGCAGCCAAATTGTTTTGCCGAGATGGTTTTTTAAGCAATATTATTTACTGTTTAATTTTTTTTTTATATTTACCAAATTGACTTAAATATTGTGTTAGTTAGACCTATTTAAAACATTAAACCGGAGTCGAATTCAAATCTCTGGTGAAATCAGTGCAGAAATCTCGGGAATCTGAAAAGTTAATCACATTTGGAATATTCCATATGGCGGGTTGGAGCTTATCCCGCAGCCAGGGGCGTCAAAAAAGGGGGCGGGGTCCTTGGAATCGGCGGTGTATTCCCCAAGACTCTGGCAACAAATACAATGTGAACAGGACGAAGCGAGCACGCATCAACGCACTTGAGGCTGCCAGCAAGTTGGACAAGGACGGGGCAAAAGGAGCAGGACACTTTGACCTGCGGGGGATGCCACGGGGGCAGGGGTGTGGAGGGGGTGGGCGTTGAGGGGCGGGGTCGTGTGTGTCAAGTGTCAAGTGTCGACGTCTGACGCACGCAAGTGTCAGCCATCTGGAGGAGCGACAGAGAGAGGGAGTGCGAAGGACACTCCGCTACCCACTGGGATCCTTTTCACCGTCTCCCTTTCTCACTGCAAAAAAATACGCCCTTAAAATAGAACTATTTCAAAAAATATCTATAATTTGTACCTGTTTAATTATGCAAATCTATTAAAATTAATTATATTTCAGCCAAAGTCTTCTTACAATTGCAATTGAAAAGTATTCCTATTTTAAATGACTGTTTTCGCATTTTAATAGTTTATAGTATAGTTTATTGAAAATGACATAGTTGTTTTATTGTAAATAAATTTTATATCATATTCA